CACAACCCCGTGTCCCCTGCATCGGCAGGCGGACTCTCAACCACTGCGCCACCAGGGAAGCCCCTCCTCTTCCTCTTTATCAGTGAAAGGCATCCGCCCAGTTGCCAGATCCGCAGAGACGGGAGTCAACTTCAGACTGCGGCCTCTTCCTTAGCTACCACATTCAACTGTCCTGAATACCACACAAACTCACCCGTCTCCCTCCTCCCCAGACTCCCGGCCACTGCCTCACTGCAGGCTTTCGTCACCTCCCTGGATTACTGCAACAGCGTCCTAACTGACCTCCACGCTTCAGATTCCTCCGGTATCAGATTCCTTTCTCCAACGAATTCCCTTTCTACAGCCTCTGCTTAAGTATCAATAATAGAGGTTACCCACATAATCATGCCAGAAACCTAGTAGTCTTCTTAGACTTTCAAAAATACAAATCCGATCATCCTTAAATGGTGTCCCATAGAATGAAGATTTTATCCTGAAGGGCGTTTAAACATATAAAATTCCTTTAGGAAATATCCTCTGCCTACTTCCTTAGTTTCGTTTCTCACGTCCCCTTTATTCTACCCTTACCTATCTTGGTTCCCCCACACATGCCAAGGAGTTGTTTTCTTACACTGATGCCTACGATAGTCTTCCTCTCCCTCACCTCCCATTCATACCTCAAAATCTCAGCTCAGGTGTCACATTCTCTGAGAAGCCTTCTCCAAGTCCCCAGACAGGTCAGGCGCTCCTTCTCAGCCCTCCCACAATATACTGTGCACGCTTCAATCACTGGGCTTATCTCACTTAACTGCGATTACTCCTTTATTCTCAAGACATCCTTTGAGGTCCTTAAAGGCAAGGGCTGGATCTTTAACCTCCATATCTTGCACACTGAGAATACTGACTAGGACACTGTAAGTACCTACAGCTGCAATGTCTGCTGCAATCAGCAGTATCTTAAATATCTCCAAGACTACATTAGAGTAATGCACAATAAGAGTGTGGCCGAGGAATGAAATAACGACAGTCTGAAACAGTAAGAAAAAGTTCAGGTTAACATGAAAGTTAAAAGACTGCCGTCACAGGAGGAGTGAAGGCGGCTGTCCAGCTTCAGAAGCAGTAACGGCTTACATGCAATTAACTGCTTTAGTTTTTCACGTAGAAAAGGTGACCAAAGTCTTATCATTGTTGAATGGGGCAATAAAAAAACCAACTCTTTCCTTTAATACACACGTGGAAAATTGCTATAATTCACAAACCTGAGGGCTGCTGAAAAAAACTACCCATGGGAAGTCAGAGCTACACAGCAACCCTCTTCCCTACGTTTTCAGGTTGAACTATGTCACCACTGCACTGTGCGGTGAGGTCAACGAAGAGAGAGGTCCAAGTGATAAACCTTGGGAAAGTGGGCAATTAGCAGCCATCATAAGCCCAGAGGTCTTGACAGCAAGTGAACAGAAGTTTCCCCATGTTCCACTGGTCTCCCAATTTGAAGGTAGCCATGGGTATATACATTCTTTTCTGAAACTGAGTTTTTTGTTTATCTTGCTCTTGTGTTTTCCCTGTTATGAGCCTCCTACATAAATTAACATTATATTTAAGCCAGAACATTGGTAACATGACTTTAAAATGCATTCTTTTATTTCCTCCTAAGGTAGATAAAACTTAATTTGGTTGGAAAAAAAAAAAAGTCAATTGCCCCAGGGTTGTGAAATACTGAGAGCTACGAAGCTTCCACCTCGTAATTTCTTCATGACAATTCTGAGTGACCAACATTCCGTCGGCAAAAAAGACCGGTTAAAATCAGAAGAGGTGGTTCGGGGGTGAACTGGAGAGAGGCCGGGGGACATTAGCTCTCTTCCAAAATGACTTGTGGAAAAAGTACAATGATGGGCAGAGGACAGAAACACAATACAAATTTCCAGAACTCCAAATCTTCTTAGATGAAAAACGTAAAGTCTTAGAAACTCAATGCCCACAGACAAGCCAAATACTTTATTTCCCGGGAATATCACAGCTGCAAAAGAGCGGGGTGGGGAGCCACGGGCTACCTCAAGCTGAGTCAGACCCGCAGGTTCCTCGGGTTCGACCGAAAGGTAGCCCGACACGCCTCGCAAGAGATGGAGAGACTCCAATTCTCCCCGCCTCGTTCCCGTGTCAGGGGCGTTCTGAAGGCCCAACGCCTGGTGGAGGGGAAGGGAAGGAACGAGCGGGAGGGAACCAGCGGAACCATCACCAGGAGAAACTTCTAAAAGCACACGGACATTCCCACACGCAGCGCTACACCGTTGCCCTAGAAACCAAATCAAGCACCTAATCCCTCCTGGGGGGGTGGGGAGGAGGCTCGGACCCACTCTTCTGGGCCCTGGGTCGTGGCCCGGAGGAACCCGGGACCAGAAGGGGGTCCTCTCCCGCGCCCCCGCCCCGGCCTCAATCCCCCGGGCGCATACCGAGTAGAGGAGCACGACAGCGCCGGGACTGGTGGAGCCGACGGAGAAGCAAGAGCTGGACGAACTGGAAGAATCCATGCTGCGGCCGCTGTCCCGGGCGTGGCCTGGGATTCTTAGCTAAGCGGTGGTTGGGGTGCTGCTGGGGGCGGTTCTTCCGCGCGGGGCGGCCCGACCTCGCCTAGGGCGGCAGCACCCTCTGCGGCCCCTCCGCAGGACCCCGGGCGTCGCCATCTTAACCAGGACGGAAGCCGCGCGGGGACCTGCAGCGCGCGCGTGCGCAGCACATCGGAACCCGGAAGCGGGCGCCGGGCCCCCGGAGTCCTGCGCGCTGTGCGCTGTCCCGCCACGACCGGCCGGGCCCCACGATGGCGCAGGAGCCAGCGCTAGCCGCCTCTGCGCCTCCCGGTTCTCAGGCCCTTCTGGACGTTCTGCTCCAGAACCTCTACGACTTTGGTGAGTACGGGCCTTCGGAGCCCACGTGGAGAGCGGACGTGAGCAGCCCGGAACTGGGCCGGCCTCCGCTTTCAGGCTGAAGGTTCTTGGGCGTCGAGCACCTCTCAGCTCGTCCGACCCGGTTCTGACAGTGGGTCCCCCACTCGCTTCTGTCGGAGATCACCCTCCCCCTCTCCCCCGCGACCGGAGTCTGTTGAGCGTTTTTTATGAATTAAACCTCCTAGCTCGTCCCTCGGTGGGGACCGGCTTGCGTGTCGGAAGCACCGAGGCTTTCAGACTTACCGGGGAGGTGTTCGCAGGACCTCGGGCTCTCGAAATAGCACCCCTTTTCCCCGAATCGCTTTCCTCCGGGAAGACCCCTTTCCCCACGCACCCCCCAGACCCGCCTGACCCTCGGGCATTGGTGCCACCTTGTCACGTGGGGATCTCATCCTTCAGTGTGTCGCCTGCCAAGGACTTCGGAGGGCGGTTTCACAGGAAGCTTTTCATGACCTGTCATCCCTAAGTTGGCTGACTTATGTTCTCCTTCCTTTATCTTGACTGGGGAAGAGGAAGATAAAAGAGCTTATCGTTAAAGATTGGCAACTCCTGGCACTTCAGTAGGGAGACTGTTCCACACACTCTGAAGAACTTGCCCCAGGGAAGGTGACCTCCTTTTTTCATGCACCAAAGATAATCGTTAGGCATTAGTGCCTTTAAAGGCCAAGCGTATTTCTTAAATTTGTAGCATGATGTTGCTATTTTATTTTGGAGCCATTGCTCAAAATTCTAAGCTCATTGCACAGTAAAAATAATAGCTAAAATCGTATTGAGAACTGGCCATACACTCCATGCTTTACAGGTATATACTCGTTTAATTTTCACAACAATCCTATGAAATAGATGTTGTCATTAATACCATTATTACAAGACAGATCCCATTATTGTAGAAACAAGCACTAAAGGTTAAAAAACTTGGAAGTTCACCCAGTTAGTAATTTGCAGAGCTTGGGTTCCAGGCCCTACACTCTGGCTCCAACCCCTGCACTTGTTATCGACTTGAACTGTGGACAGAGCATCTCTGTGCCCTTGGGAATGTCGAAAGACAGAGAAGACTTAGCCTCTGACCTTGAGAAGTCCTAGAGGAAAGGACTGTTCTGCAAAATCCTAAATATAGTTCGTGTTAACACAGCCTGGAAATTATGCTTGGAGCTCTGAAGGCATGGGCTGTATCTACTCATTTGTATATGCCTAATGCCAAAGGTTAGTCGACTCTTAATACATATTTACTGAATAAAAGACTGAGAAAATAGAAGCAAACATAAATAGCTAATGTTTGGAGAGCTCTGTAATAGTCATACTGTCGGTGAGTCGTTAGGCCTAGAGTTCTTGTCAGAACCTTCAGGTGACTGGTCAGAGTTCGAGCAGCTGAAACAAAGGGGAGGTGTGGAGATTTAGTTGAAAATAAAGGCATTCAAATTAAGCCAGTTGTCTTAGGTTCATCTTAATTCATAACCGTGAAAGGAAATAGGAAGACCGCGGTCCCCACCTGTAACCCTAGAAAGTGTTAAAAAGAAACACTGGGGCTTCCCTGGTGGCGCAGTGGTTGAGAGTCCGCCTGCCGATGGCAGGGGACATGGGTTCGTGCCCCGGTCCGGGAAGATCCCAGAAGATCCCACATGCTGTGGAGTGGCTGGGCCCATGAGCCATGGCCGCTGAGCCTGTGCGTCGGAGCCTGTGCTTCGCAGCGGGAGAGGCCACAACAGTGAGAGGCCC